CGCTGACTCTCACCAGTGGCTATGGATGAAGTCACAGGCGATTTTCAGCCAGTGCTGGTAGATTAAGTGGTTTTATATCTCAGTTTTTGGCTTTTTTTGTTTTACTTCCTAAATGGTATTGATAATTATACATAATAACTGCTTTTCATGATTGTTTATAGGATCAATTATTCATTAAATTGTAGCAGCTGTTCTTAGTGTAATTATGAGCATTATTAATGAACAATATAGATTGGAGGACCAAGGGTCAAGAGGTCTGGAATTAATTGCGGTAGTATATTGAGAGTTTGAAATATTATAATAGAGAAACCAGAAAAGGGGGGGGGCATAGAAATTCATTAAATTGGATCTTTATGAAAGGATTTAACTCTGATAGGAACATCATAGGTCGGAGAAAGCGGAAAGTTATATGTTGAGTTTCAGATATTTAGTAAAAAAAAAAAACACAAAGTTAAAGTCAAATGAAAGTTCTGAGAGAAATTAGGAAAAAAGTATATTTCTCTCCAAATATCAAAAAAAAAAAAAGGTATATTTCTCAGTGATATTATTTTTAGATTTTAAAGGTAGTGTATTTAAGACTTGTTTATCACTACTACATAAAAGGTAGGTGGGTTATATATCCAAAGAAGAAATATTGCATGGTAGTTTATAATGAACTCTGGTGGTTTAGTGGTAAGAAGTTGCACTGCCAGCCTTAAGACATGGGGTCGAATCCACCAGCTACTCTGCAAGAGAAAGATGAACAGTCTCCTCCTGTGTGATTTAAAGCCTCTGAAACCCCCGGAGGGCTAGCTATGAGTTGGTTCTGTCTTGAATGCACCCAACCACTTAACTGACTCATAACTTTGGAAAGTTTTTTAACTTCTTTCTGCCTTCTTTTCTATATTAAATAGAGATATAATGACATCTATTTTGCTATGTAGAAGGAATAAATTATTTAACTATATATGTAGAACCTGACACACAGTAAGCATCCAATAAATATAACCTGCTATTATATTATCATTTCTATTGTCTATTTATTAGGCGTATATAACAAATTATAACTTGTATTTTTCTTTTCTAGCTGCCCTGTTTAAAAGCTAGAATGAAACAGTTGTCTGCAGCTACAATTCGCCTCCTGTCAAGTTCTCAGATAATCACTTCAGTGGTTAGTGTTGTAAAAGAGCTTATTGAAAACTCCTTGGATGCTGGTGCTACAAGCATAGATGTTAAACTGGTAAGTTTCTTGGAAAAGCTAAATGACTTTAAACAAAAATAAGAATTTGTATAGTGGTTAAAAGGCTTCAGCAGTTAGCCATAATGTGAGTAGTTTGAATCCATAAGCCACTCCATGAGAGAAAGGTGTGGCAGTCTGCTACTGTAAAGATTTGTTAGTTTTGAAAACTGTCTAGTGCAGTTCTACCGTGTCCAGGACGGTCTCTATGAGATAGAATCACTATGACAGTTTTTATTTACCGTGAGTAGGAAACAACCCATAGCTTACCCTCCAGCACATTTTCAGAGGAAGTAAATTACATAGGATGAGATTGCCCTTCTCTTTCCCACAGAACAGCTGATAGATTAGAACTACATACCTTTGAGTTGGCAGTGTACCTCCTTATACGAAGCCACCAGATTTCAGTTCTTTTTAGGATATTTGACCCATTTTCTAGTTTAAGAGTAAATTCTTAAGGATTAATTTTAGCATCAATTAGCATCATGTTCACACTAAAGGAGATTATATAAGAAAACATTTTTTCCGACTTCATATAAAAATCGAAATGCTCACTTTAATTTCTTTATTTTCTACTAATATTCAATTTCAGTTATTTATGTTTTTAGTATATGTTGTTTTTGTTATATACCATCAAGTTGCCTGCAACTCATAGTGACCCTGTGTATAAAAGCTCTGAACCCTGCTCTGTCTGAGCAAACCTCATTATCTCTGCCACACCTACCCCCATTACCCCAAGCACTGAGTCAATTCATTTACCCAAGGTCTTCCTCTTTTGCGCTCTTTCTCTACCCTTTCATGCATGATATCCCTCTTCAAGAAATGATCCCTCCTAGTGAAATGCCCAAAGTGTGACAGAGCTTCAAAATCCTTGTCTCCAAGGAGCAGCCTTGTTTCACCTTCCATGGGATGGAACTGTTTGTTCTCTTAACAGTCCATGAAATAGTCAGTGCTCTTCTTTAGCACCACAACTTAAAGGCATTGATTCTTCTATCATCCTTAGTCATTGTCTAGCTTTCTGATGCATAACAAGTACTTGTGAAGACCATGGGCTGGATCAGGCACACCTGTCTCTAGACTGAAATCCTGCTCTTCAGTACTCTGGAGCAGTCCCTGACAGTAGACTTTCCCAGTGCAATTCATCTTTTTATTTCTTGGCTGCTGATACCAAGTGTGTTGATTCTGAATCTGTTAATAATCTCAGTCTCTCTTTTCATGATGCTGCCAATTGACCAAGTGGTGAGAATTTTCGTTTTCTTGATATTGAGCTTCAGTCTATATTGAAGGCTTTAGTCTGTATACTCTCTATTATATTTTTTCCCACCTAATCTTTGTCTCAGGATAGGGCAAAGTTCAGAGCCATTGTTAAGAGTTGCTAGGAGTTGTAGTTGACTTAATAATGACACAATCTTACTTTAAACCCATTTGCCTTTCCCCCCACATTTTAAAATTTAAATGAAATTAGATAGATAGATAGATACATAGATAGATAGATAGATAGATAGATAGATAGATAGATAGATAGATATGTATACACACACACACATATATATAATTCTTTATGTTAATGATTATTTCTGTTATAAATATGCATGACCTGGCTCATTTGTTCCCACAGTGATACTATGTACATTCTACGTTTCAGTTATTAAAGCGTGTGTACAGCTGTTTCTCTCCTAGTTTTTTTGTAATATAGGCCCTACCACTATTACTGTAACTACTCGTATTCCTCTGCTTTTCATAGGGTTTTAAGAGGTCTGTTATTTTGGAAGTGAATGGCCAATCCTGCTTCCTAGTCTGTGTTAATTTGAGAGCTCTGGTGAAACGTACCACTGCGGATGACCCTCTGGCATTTGACACACAGGTAGCATAGTTTCCAGCATCATAACCACCAACGAGTTGCTCCAGTACAGCAAACTGACAGACAGGTGTTGTACTGAGAAGAGCAAATAAGAAAGAAGCAAGCGTGTGCACATCTAAGCGAAGCAGTTAGCAGATTGCAAATTGATTTCCAGTACAACAGACTGAGAGATATGGGCTATACCTCTAATAGCAAATCGAGCATACACAAATCATGGTGCAGAGTCTAGCTGTGGCCTGTGGTGGGATGGCAGGATAGAGCCCGTGTGGGTGCTGGAACCTTCTGGATGAGGCTGATGACTGGCATGGTGAGGTAAAGACCTCGATGAGGATATTAAAATCAAGGGGATGGATGCTGGTGCTGCACACAGGCCCAGGAGACCTGGCATGGGGTCAGAATGGTGGTCTTCTGTATGATAGATCTTGCTAAGACATGGGAGTATAGCAAGACAGGAAAAAGCTTGAAATGGCCAATGATTTCATCTTACTTGGCTCCATAGTCAACACCCTTGTTATCAGCAGCCAGGAGGTCAGAATATTCATTGCTTTTGGAAAGTCGGCTGTCAGGAACCTCTTCAAGTTATTAAGGAACAGTGATGTCAGCTAGAAGACTAAGATAGGCTGGATTCGTTTCATGGTCTTTTCAGTCATTTAGAAGTCATCAAAAGCTGGACAATAAGTATGGACGGCAGAAGGAAAGTTGATGCCTTTGCACTATGGTGTTAGAGAAGAGTACTTAATACGCTGTGGACCGCCAAAAAACAAATTGATATGTCTTAAACAAAGTACAGCCAGAATACTCCCTGCAAGCAAAGATTGTAAAGTGTTGTCTCACATCCTTGGGTTATGTTGTTAAATTCCCTCAAGCCCAGTATGACTCATAAGCGACCCTATGAACAACAGAGAGAAACTCTGTTCTTTCCTGGCATGTTGTTAGGAGAGGCTATTCCTTAGAAAAAGACATAATGCTTGTGTAGATAGAGAGCAGGTGAAAGATGGACTGAGACATTGACTGCAGCAGTGGGCTCAAGTATATCAGAAATGATGAGGATAGGGCAGGGCTCAGATCTGTTGTTCATAGAGTCGCTAGGAGTCATACTCATTCCATGGCACCTAACAACAACAGCTACAACATGACCTGACTATTGAAAAATCAGCCATTGAAAATCCTTTGGAGCACAATTTACTCCAATAACACATGGAGTTGTTGTGAGTTTTCATCAACGGATTGACATCTAGTTTATAATACCCATTATGATTTATACATTTACTTTGTAGTTTGTCTCCCTTATTGTAAAATTTTTAGCTCAGAGAGTTAAGGTTTTTCAGACCAAGCCAGTACTAGAAATACTAAGCATCATTGAGTTCATATAGTCACCCTCCATGAAGTTTCTGAAGCTGTAAATCTTAATGAGAGAGCAGTGCCCATCTTCCTGCCGCTGCTAATTTTAAACTACGGAGACACCTCACTTTTTGGCTAGTGGCATACGTGCTGTGGATAACTCTAATAGAGCTAGGGGGACACAGTTGAGTCTGTGACAATAATCTTATTAAACCCCAAAAATATATTTTAGACATTTCATGTAGTTGGTTCAGTCTGATCAGAGAACTATTGATAATAATTATATACATTGGAACAGTTAACAGATTTTGTTTTAGAATCTTAGGTAACTATCTAGTTTAAAGCTCTCTGCAAGAAAAAAAAATATGAGCTCTTGTTTTGGTTATTATTACAGAGACAATAAAAGTCATGTAAATAAAAGTAAATGAAACGTTTTTGTCTGGCTGTATATTTTAGTATGTTCTTCAGTATATGCATCATGCGTTGAAAATAAACAATCTATTGCTCTTTATAAGAGAACCAGTTTTATTATTGTTTACATATACTATTATAATAGCTGTTTGTGTTTCTTATAAAAGCTATTTACAATGAATAAATAATTGATTATACAAAACACCATTGTTCTATCTCCAGCCTAATGTCTGTCACCAAGTCCATGTTTTTTTACTACTGAACTTTTTTATTTCCAACTTTTACATCCCAGTCAAACAGATTCATCCTAGAGAGGGTTAAACCAGGCTGCTACTTGGAGGCAAGGATTCTGGGGCTTCGCCTGACATACTTTGGACATGTTGTAAGGAGAGACAAGTCTTTAGAGAGGGACATCATGCTGGGCAGAGTGGAGGGACAGCGCAGGAGGGGAAGACCCTCTATGAGGTGGATTGATTCAGTGACTGGGGTAATCGGGATGGGTGTGTCAGAGGCAATGAGATTGGCACAGGATTGAGCAGGGTTTAGGGCTGTTGTACATAGGGTCGCTATGAGTCACAAACGCCTCGATGGCACATGACAACAACAACAACATCCCAGTCTCCTGGTGTTGGTTTTTTTGGTGTGTTTTGTTTTGTTTTTAAAATTTTTAATACTGGTTTATTTACAAAGTTCGAATACATTGTTTTTCACATTGGATCTTTCCCATAGCCCATCAAATTGTGTGACCCCCATGATTGACCAATGCTTCCCTAACCCCCCGCCCATCTTCACCCCTCTGCTTTTACCCTTCCCTGCTTGGATCCTCTTACTCATTCTACAATAATGGCTTTATACAGTATTTGTCCTTTGAGACTGAGTTAGTTCACGCTGTATAATGCTCTCCAGTCCCTCCCAAGTTAGGTAGTAATTTATAAAATCATTACTTCTGTGTGTTGCATAGTATTCCATTATATGAATGTACCATAATTTCTCAATCCATTCAGTTGTGATTGGGCATCTGGGCTGTTTCCATGTTCTTGGCGATTGTAAATAACTCTGCTATAACCTTTGGTATACCAGTCTCTGTCCCTCAGTTCTAATTTTTGTCAGGGTATATATTCCAAGCAGTGGAATAGTTGGGTCATACGGAATTTCAATGTTCAGCTTTTTTGAGGAAGCGCCACACTGCCTTCCAGAGTGGTTGTACCATTTTACAGTCCCACCAACAATGCATTAGGATTCCTATCTCGCCACATTCTCTCCAACATTTATTACTTGCTGTCCTGTTAAACTTTGCCACTGGTATTGGAATGAGATAGTATCTCATTGTGGTTTTGATTTGCATCTCTCTTATTGCCATTGATTTTGAGCATTTCTTCATGTATCTGTTGACCAGTTGAGTATCTTCCTCTGAAAATTTTTTCAATGTGTTTTGCCCAGCTTGAAATTGGGACTTTTTATTATTAATGCATCATGGTTGCATGTTTAATCAATTTCTGAGTACAAATGTTGGTAGACATCATCTATTCCTTTCTCTTTGGCTCTGGTTGTTGGTAACTTGATATTGTGCTCATGCAAAACCTATACTTGGACCAGGAAGCAGTCATCAGAACAGAGTAAGGAAACACTGCATTGTTCAGAATCAGGAAATTAATGTCACAGGGACGTATCCTATCCCCATACCTTTTCAATCTCTTTGGAGGACAGGTCATTGAAGAAAGAAGCTGGGCTTTGTGAGGAAGAATATGGCATCAGAATTGGAGGAACACTCATCAACAATCGGTTCTGCAAATAACACAACCTTGTTTGCTGAAACTGAATAGGACCAGAAGTGTTTAGTGCAGACGGTCAAGGAATGTAGTCTTAAATATAGATTGAAGTTTAACATTAAGAAGGCAAAGATTCTCACTGGGCCAATTGACAGCACCATGATAAGTGGAGAAAATACTGAGATTGTTAACAGTTTCCGCTTACTTAGCTCCACAGTCAACACTCTTGGTATCAGCAGCCAGGAAATCAAAAGGCAAATTACTTTGGGAAACTCTACTGGCAAGGACCTCTCCAAAGGGCTGAAGAGCAACCATGTCAGTTTAGAGACTAAGTTGTGCCTGATCGAGGCCATGGTCTTCAGAGTTACTTGCTATGCATCGGAAAGCTTGACAGTGAATAAAGATGATAAAAGATGCCTTTGGAAAGAGTATTGAACATATCATAGACTTCCAAGAGAACAGAGATCTGTCCTGGAGAGGGTGAAGCCAGTGTTCCTTGGAGGCAAGAATTTTTAAGCTCTATCTGGCATACTTTGGGCTTGTTGCCTGGAGGGACCAGTCTTTGGAGAAGGATACCATACTTGGAAGAGTGGAGGGACAGTATAAGAGAGAAAGGTCCTGGATGAGATGGATTGACTCAGTGACTAGAGAAATAGGGGCAGGTAGGTTAGAAACAGAGAGATTAATCCGGGATAGGGCAAGGTTCAGTGGCATTGTGCATGGGGGTCGCTATGAGTTGTAGTCATTTCAATGGCACAAAACAGTAACAGTATACTAATAGTTGTCCTGACTGAATATTTTCATGGTTAATCAGATATTTTTTTTTATTTTATACATTAAAAAAAAAATCTGTATCTTCTTATTTCTGTGCTTGAAGTTCTTATTTATGTTAAAAAATTACATTCCTCTAGTTAATTGATTGCTTATAAAATGAAACAAATTATTCCCAAAACGTGCACTTAATTTTGCATCATTAGAATTATAAAGTGTTTTCTAACCCTCCCTCTTTGTAAATGTTTTGTATGTAAGATGTATTGACACAAGTTCTGTTATTTTTACTATCAGTGTCATAATTGTAGGAGGTTCCCCCCCTTTCTGACTTGTATCTGTTACTGTATGCATAAAGTTTTGGGGAGTTAAGGTTACAATAATAAGTGGCTACCCAGTTTATAATTTGGGAGTATCTGAGTGATGCCAGTTGGTAACAAGTCAGCTCCTATCTATAAGATCGGAGATTCAGGTGCTTAGCAGTCTTACTTCTAAAAATGTCAGCCTGTGATCAACCCCAGACGGTGATGGAACTGTGGTCAACCACACTTCTGCTGCAGCATATATGGGGTGGCCATGAGATGGAGTGAACTCAAAGACAACCGGTTATTCATAGAAAATGTGGTCACTGTGGGAGTTAAGATTTTGGTGGGTTTTCCCCCTCTATGTGTTTTTCAGTATTAGACTACAAAAGCTATACTGTCAATTGAAATACTTTCTGTACTTTCTTAAATTTCAAATTCATCATTCTTAAGGCCAAATCAGATACATTTTCTTAACAGCTTCCTGTTTGGTAACTGTTTGCAGAGAAGTTACAGTGTGGTGAACCTTTCTTAGGCAAGCATTCAGTAGTTCAGGGGAGAAAGTATCAAAAGTTAAGATTGAGTAAGAATAATTGTTAGACTCTTGGTGGAAAAGCAAAGTGTTTGCAGTGATATATTTTGTTTGCAGGGCTACATATACAGCATGTTTTTGTCATTCATAGTTAATATTTTTTAGTCTAGTTTTAACATACTGAAACTAAAGAAAGTTAAAAAATCATACTGACTTCCTTATTTTATAGTTCAATCTGAGCCCAGAGAAAACAAAGAATGTACTCTTATCACCATACTTAAGAATTAATAGAGCTGTGAAAATTTAACATAATATTAAGCTCCTATAAAAATTAATAATTGTTCCACTTGTGTTTCTTTCTGTCTCTCAATAGTCAATGTTTTTATATACTGAAAGTATTTTTTAACTTTGTAGGAAAACTATGGTTTTGATAAAGTTGAGGTGCGAGACAATGGTGAGGGTATCAAGGCTGTCGATGCACCAGTGATGGCAAAGAAGTACTATACCTCAAAATTAAATAGTCATGAAGATCTTGAAAATTTGACCACTTACGGTTTTCGTGGAGAAGCCTTGGGATCAATTTGTTGTGTAGCTGAGGTAAGGTAATTTATATTGTTTATTTTACTGACTATTTTAGAGACTAAGGTGTGTCTAATCCAGGCCATGGTCTTTATAATTACTTGCTGTGCATCAGAGAGCTGGACAATGACTCAGGATGAAAGAATTAATGCTTTAAAATAGTGGGCTGAAGAAGAGTCTTGAACATACCATGAACTGCCAAGAAAACAAATAGGTCTTTCTTGGAGAGGGTGAAACCAAGGTTCTTGGAGGCTAAGATTTTGAAACTTCGCCTCACACACTTTGGGCACGTGGTCAGGAGAGACTAGTCCTTGGAGAAGGACATCATGCTTGGAAGGGTGAAGAGACAGCACAGGAGAGAAAGACCCCAGATGAGATGGATTGATACAGTAACTGGGGTGATGGGGGTTGGTGTGTCGGAACTAGTGAGACTGACTTAAGACAGGGTAGGCTTCAGAGCTGCTGTACCTAGGGTTGCTTTGAGTCACAGGCAATTCATGGCACATAACACAATAACAGTAGTATCTACATTTCACCACACCTAGTTGATCATGAAACCCTTTTATTGAGAAGTATATTACTATTTGTTCTGTGAAACATATACTAGAAGTATCCCTTTAGTCAGTATAGGTGAGATTAATTTGGCCTAAAACCTTGAAGTGAGGGGCAGATTGGATGCTAGAATTTTAATCATGCCTTTTGGTTAGTCACTTTTATTTAATTTTTTTTTTTAAATGGGTTTACTTATAAAGGTCCTACACATTGTTTTTCACACTGGATCTTTCCCATTTCCTTTACCCACATCTCCCTCCACCCATCAAATTGTGTGACCCTATGATTAACTCCCCCTGCCTGTCCTCACCCCTCTGCTCCCATTCTCCTCACCTTCGATCCTCCTACCCATTTTACTGGTTATCTTTCTGTTTCTACAGTAATGATCTTATACAGTGTTTGTCCTTATGGGACTGAGTTAGTTCACTTAGCATAATGCTCTCTAGTTGCTCCCAAGTTAGGTAATTTTCAAAATCATTGCTCCTGCATGCTGCCTAGTTTTCCGTTGTGTGAATGTACCACACTATCTCAGTCCATTTGATTTAGTTGGACATTTGGGCTATTTTCATGTTCTTGTGATGGTAAGTAACGATGCCATGAACATTGGTGTACAAATATTCATTTTGCCACAGTTCTCATTTTCTCGGGGTATATTCCAAGCAGTGGAATAGCTGGGTCATATGGCATTTCTATGTTCAGCTTTTTTGTGGACATGCCAAACTGCCATTTCAAGTGGTTGTACTGTTTTATAATCCCACCAACTGTGGATAAGATGTCCTGTCTCTTCACATTCTCTCCAACATTTATTGCTTACTGTTCTGCTAAACTTTGCCACTGCTTCTGGGGTGAGATGGTATCTCATTGTGGTTTTAATTTGCATCTCTTACTGTGGTTAGGTGCTTTTAGTGTCTGTAAACTTGGTAGTTCAGTGCTTGGCACACTCATTTACACTGTTATCAGTTTTATTACATTGTCTCTGCTAAAACCACCTAACTAGTTTGGCAAAAACTACTTAGAACCTGGTTTTGGGTGTTGTTTTTTTTTTTTTTTAGTTTCTGTAATGGTTCTTTAAGAGGATGGGCAGTCCCATCCTATATTCAATTAACTGCTTCTGAAAACCCATTAGAGGGTCAGCTCTAAGTTGGCTTCAACTACATGGTTAGAATATCACATCTTACCTGATAGTCTTAGTAGCACTGAATGGTCAGTAGCTGTCAAGTTGGAGGATATTATACCTTTCTGTGGCCTAGTGGAAAGGGAGTTACACTGTCAACCAAAGGCAAGTGGTTTGAATCCATTAGCTGCTATTTTGGAGAAAGATGGGCAATCTCCTGTACAGTTCAAAGCCTCTGAAAACCTGCTAGAGGGTCAGCTATGAGTCATTTCCAACTGGATGGGACATAACATACCTATCTGGAGAAATTGGCATATTCTCTGTATCTCTTCTCTGGACCATTTACTTAGTTTCCTCTGAGGAAAATGGACTGTCTTCTCCCACAACAGTTTAAAGCCTCAGAAACCTGTTGGAAGGTGTCTGACTCAAAATGAACTTCACAGCAGTTTGGTGTTGCGTGTGTGTATGTGTGTGTTGGCAGAGTGGGAATTGAGAAATCTTGCTGTTGCAGCCCAAAGGATATAGCGGTAGTTGTCTGGGGAGAAGAGACATTATAATTCCTTAAACACATTCTGCTTAACAGCTTTATCCCAAACAAGTGCACCCTGTGTTGCTCCTTGTCAGCACTTCACTTAAACGCCACTGACTTTCCAAATGCATGTTGGGGACGGCCAGTTGGACACTGCACTTCTTTCTCTCCAGAAACTTTGACTAGGAACATACAGCTCTGGGTCTTTTAAAGCAGATTTGCTTTAAAAATAACATGGGGTTTGTGCTAAAAAACCTCTGAAGCACCCATCCTTAGTTGTACTATTCGAGCTCTCAGTGGCTACTTTAAAAATCCTTTTTTTTTTGTTAAGAACATAAATATTTGCATTTTAGCTGTTACCCTGATTTACCAGATAGCCTTAAAGCTTTGATGTCTCAGGGTATTGTTAGAAAATAGATTTTGGTATTTATCTGTCTTAAAATGCACATAATCTTTCAGAGCTTATTGGCTGTTATTTTGTCTGCTAGATGGCAGCACTGTACTTGATCTTTTAAAATATGTTACCCATAAGCCAGAATGAGTTATCCAAATCTTAACTGCATTTCAGATTTTAGACGGCAGTTTTGCAAGTATTTCTCTCTCTTTTGTTTATTTGATTGCTTAAGTCTTCTACTTGATATCCTAGTTTATTAGGATTTACTGGATTTTTTTTTTTTCAAATTCTTTGATTTCAAATATATAAAAGTTTACACATCACAACTATGAAAGGGTTTCTGACTGCTCTGCATGAGATCGTAATAAAGTAGAATGAGAGGTTAATGTAGAACAGGACCCAAAATCATCAAAATGTTCTCTTCATACCTTGCTGATCTGCTGGAGGCCAATAGGACCCCTGAGTCTGTCGCCCTCAGCTACCTTTTTAAGCCTGGAACCCAACTTATGCCTATGGCCCACCTTTCAGTCAGACAGTAGTTAGATCTTTAAGGGGATAATAGCACCAGGTAGAAATTAATCCCTGAAAATAATCAACCATTCAGAATCTAAAGGGCAACATTAGTTCCAGGATGAAGCTCCAAAGACAGAAAGGGAGTGGACAGAAGGACGAACGGACACAACAATCCCAGGAAGATAGTATGAGCGGTGTTGTTACAATGTGGGGATTATAATCCATAACTTAAAAGAAAATGCATATGAATGGTTGGATGGAATAGCAGTCTCTCCTATAAACTTTCAGTCAAATCACAGAGACCAAAAAAACGCTTAAAAAGGAAAACTAGAAAGAAGTATTTTAATAGTGAAAAACTCCAAAGGTTAAAAAGTACATTTTTTATTTTGGGATGTATTAATAGAAAATTTTACAGAGTGGTCTTTTTTTTGGTTAATATTTGAGGAAAATCACACACAAGTATGTGTGTTGGTGATTATAAATACAGGCACTATATATATGGAGCTCTGGTGGCCTAGCACGTAAAGAGGTGTGTTGCCAATCCAAAGGTAGGGGGTTTGAATCCTTCAGGTACTCTGAAGGATATAGATGAACAGTCTCCTATCGTGCAATATATACCCTCCTAAAACCTGCTGAAGGGTCGTCTCTGACTTGACAGCAGTGAGTTGAGAGATATAGTGCATGCATACATAAACTGTTTGTATAAGTTCTGGACCAGGCTAGAGAACATTATCAGCTCCATGGAATGTTTTTTCTCTCATGTCCTTCCCAGTTATTCTTGATTACTAACCACTATTCTGACCTCTGTCAGGATAGTTCTACAAGTTCATAAAAGTGATGTAAATGGAATTTATATTTCCTTTACTGAAGACAATATACAGCTGGAACAAAGCCTTTTATTCAGCTGTAAACATTGGTACACTACACAGATGACTGTCTTCAGAACTGAAGAGCTTATTATCTCAGCTGCCAAGAATGGCAGTGAATTCTTAAAGCTAAGACTTCCTCTGTGGAATGTTTTCAACTCAACTGGTGGGAGAATACTACCATCCCAAGGGTACTTTCCTTTCTGGGAGCACTGTGTAACGAGTACCTGATCGATCAGCGATATAAAGGCTCTTTGCCTATTCACGATAGTTCTTTTGGGCCATCTTAGCTCCAGATTGCCTTGAGTCATCTGAGGCTTTGTTGGGAGGGTGGCACAGCCCTACATTTTTCTGCCCTATTTTCTACACTGCCCCCACAGGTAATAACCCTGCGGGCACTCGACAATAAATGTCATGCCCACTAATCTCTGTCTCGGAATATACTTCCCAGGGAAACCAAAAAACTGTTACTAAAATCTTATGAAGTAAAATACTAGGCCTTTTTTCTGTAACTTCAAAAGCTTCTCTAATGGTCAACAAATTACTTATTGTTTGCTCTCATAACCTGGTCAACAAATTATTCATTGTTTGCTCTCCAGGTTATGCTGCTAGGTATTTTACTTCATAGGAGCTGTGCACCCTGAAATGAATGGAACATGAAAATTGTAACCTGTCGAGAGACACATAGTATGTCCCATAAGCAAAGCCAAGAATTCAGTTCCAATTTCATGCTCCACAATAGGTTATGCTGCACTTGTACAACCTCTGTTAGGAAGGTATTTATAAGTTTAAAAATACTCTTGTAATAAAATAATAAATAGAACCAGGCCTAGAGTAGTAAATCTATCATAGAGCTTATACTTGAATAGATGTTTTTTAAGGTAAATTCCATTTTAAAATAAATGGTTTTCAGGAAAGCATAATGAATACTTTTTTAGAGGGCAAAGTTCACTTTCTATACTTAATTCATACAGCTCTGGTGGGTTCCTGGTAAGGAATTATGCTGTAAACTCAAAGGCACTCAGTTGGAATCCAGCAGCTGCTCTGTGG